ACAACTCCACTCATGGAAGCTACAAAAAAGGGTTACATCGAAATGATGGAGCTTCTCATCGACAACGGCGCCTACACTTACCTGGTTGACAACAGCGGTAACACTCCCCTTCACTGGGCGGCTAGAAATGGCAATTTGGCTGCTGTGGCTGTATTGTGTAGATCTGCTCCTACCACCTACGTGGAGAACGCCAATTGCCGTACACCACTGAAGGAGGCTCGCAAGCATGGCCACCCCGAGATTGTGCAATACCTGGCTTTCCACGATAGCACTGAAGAGTCGGAGCAACCTGAAGGAAGTGAGTTCGAACACACCATCGTCGATGCTGTGGTAAGCAATGCATTTCACTTTCCATTCAACTCCTTCATCATCCACGTCTTTGTCACTGGTAGTTCTGTGAGATCGGTTCCACTTCAAGCACTTCATGCAAGGTGTGCTGTCCGTGCGTGCTGAAACGACTGGCTGCCTCCAACCCCACTCCAGACCCTCCAACTGACGCAATGTGCACAAGGGTGGAGTGCAGCTTTGGTCACTGCAGAAGACCCAATAATCCAACAACGTACAAACGATTCTGTAGAGTGTTAGAGCTGGTCAACAAATGACAGTATTACGAGTGATGGACACCAAACATTCTATTGGAAACATGAATGCGACACAAAGACAGCCCGTCGATGCGTCGCTACAAAATGCAGCCTTCTGCAACTGTGCTTGACGGAGGAGGCATTCCACAGCAGGAGGTCCAAACACAATGTCTTGTGTGCCACCTGAAACAGCTTCATCCAAGTTGTTGTTTGAGTGGATATGAAATCTAGGGCAACTTCATCAGACTAAAGTCGATGACTTCTTCCATTCCAGTAGATGCGATGCCGATTTGGCGCTTGTTGCTATTATTTGCCACTGCTCTTGCACTATCCCATCGTTTCACTAACGCCATCATATTGCGTTCATAAACAGCACCGTATTGTGTCTCATTGTGGAGTGGTGAGTTATGCGGAACCGACTAGGTTGGTGCACGACAGACAGGTTGGATGGAGAGAATTCACACGCTTCGCTGACGGAGCGAGGCTGAAGGTGCCTTTCATCCAAACAATTGGAGCCAAATGCGTTTAGCGCAGAGGCGTTTGATGCGAATTAGTTTCTTGTAATGGCTTTGAGGGTGGACAGTCGGTGCGGTAGGGGACACCTCCTCCCGATCAGAACTGTGCCAATGAAGCAGAACAGACACCGCATGAACCTTCACCGATGCAAGCAATGCCTTTCATCTTAATGCAGCAGAGCAGAGCTAGATGAGGTGGTCGTTGCCAGGTGTGCTGGTAGCAACCAAAGTAGCGTTTTGACATCTTGCGCATGCCATGCAATTAGGAGCAGTACCACATGCCTACTACATCGTACAATACTCATTTTCGCAAATCTTGTTATTCA